ACCATGGTGTTAGCTCCAAACACTACTCCGGTTCCGTTAGTGCCACCAGCGACGATGCCCATGCCGAAGTAACCCGCTATGCTGCCGATGTCAATGAACATGGCTTTGAATATGCCTTCGATACCACCAATGCCATCCACGCCACTGCTTCCGGCAATGCCAATGGTGAACACAAAGGTGACTTCGCCTGGATCTCTCCCGAAGGTGAACATATCTCCGTTCAATATGTTGCCGATGAAAATGGTTACCAACCCAGCAGCGACTTGTTGCCCACCCCACCACCAGTCCCAGCTGCCATCTTGAAGGCTTTGGAATACATCCGCACTCATCCTCAATATGAAGAAAGCGCCCCTAAGACTTTGGTCAAGCAATCCATCAAGAGTGTTAGCCGTAACGCTGTTAAAGGACGCCGTTTCTAAACGATGAGCAACGCAGAAGAAGATGAACATTGTAAATATTTTTGTTAATGTTTTTATTGTAAGAAAAAATTGTTATGCGACAAGTATTAAATAAAAATTTGAGTTTTTTGTTTTAAAAAAATATATATTTTTTTTTTCATTAAAAAACAAAATTATGAAAAAATTATTTTGAATGGCCAACAATAGGCGTAGTTTAAAACCAGTAAGGAAAGTAGTAAAGTCGGACGGGGCCGACTATATGATACCCTTCACCACTATGGGTATATTAAACAGGACTATTTACATGAAATTTGTTGAAAAAAAATATGTGATATTTATCTAAATGTGAATCTACCTAGATCTATCCATAAAGTATGTTAATCGACTTCAAACAAATATAAATAAGTCATCCGTTGGGCTATGTCTGTACTTCTAGAAAACGCAACTACGTAATTCTATGCTCAATTTTGTACGTTGTGCACAATTTGATGTCGATCTGACTAACATGAAGAGTTTGATGCCCAATTTACTTGAAATCGGACAAAAATATATATGGAAGCTGTATCCAAATATTAAGCGATTTCAAACAAACTTGTCACAGGTTAGGTTATACTAATTTCAGAACGTTTTGTTTCTATTGGTTCCTTAGTACGTCAATTACTTAAAATCAATCTATAATAAAAGGGAGCTATATCTAAATCTGGACCGATTTTCACGAAACTTAGCATCATTTTAGGCTCAATTCAGTACGTTATGCCAAATTTCGTGCAAATCGAAAGTTATATAGGGACTTTGGGGCACCATTTACATGATATCGGACGAAACTATATATGGGAGCTATATCTAAATCTGGACCGATTTTCTCCAAACTTGGCAGACATCACTTAATTCAGTACGTTATGCCAAATTTCGTGCAAATCAAGAGTTATATAGGGACTTTGGGGCACCATTTACATGAAATCGTACGAAACTATATATGGGAGCTATATCTAAATCTGGACCGATTTTCTCCAAACTTGGCAGACATCACTTAATTCAGTACGTTATGCCAAATTTCGTGCAAATCGAAAGTTATATAGGGACTTTGGGGCACCATTTACATGAAATCGTACGAAACTATATATGGGAGCTATATCTAAATCTGGACCGATTTTCTCCAAACTTGTTAGACATCATTCTAAGCTCAATTCAGTACGTTATGCCAAATTTCGTGCAAATCGAAAGATATATAGGGACTTTGGGGCACCATTTACATGAAATCGGACGAAACTATATATGGGAGCTATATCTAAATCTGGACCGATTTTCTCCAAACTTGGCAGAGATCACTCTAGACCTAAATGATTAGGCTGTACCAAATTTCGTGCAAATCAAAAGATATATAGGGGCTGTTTACATTAAATCGGTTAAATATATATATGGGAGCTATATCTAAATCTGAACCGATTTTTCCCAATTTCAATAGGGTTCGTCCTTGGGCCGAATAAGTGACCTATGCCAAATTTCATCCAATTCGGATCATAAATGCGACCTGTACTTTGTTTACAATTTAACAGGGACAGACAGACAGACAGACGGACGGACGGACATGCATAAATCGACTTAGAAAGTGATTCTATGCATATTCTCAAAAGGAACCATGTGTCTATCTCGTTTCCTTTTGCCTGTTACAAACATATGCACAAAGACATAATACCCTGTACCACAGTGTGGTGAAGGGTATAAAAAATATATTTTTAGTGGCCAAAAATAGGCGTGGAGTTCTTAAGATATATAGGGACTTTGGTGCCCCATTTGCCTTAAATCGAACGAAAATATATGTGGGAGCTACATCTAAATATGAACCAATTTTCTCGAAACTGAACACACGTCATTCTGGACCTAATTCAGTACCGAAAGCCAAATTTCGTGCACATCGAAAGAAATATAGGGACTTTGGTGTACCATTTACCTAAAATCGGACGAAAATATATATTGGAGCTATATATAAATCCAAACCGATTTTCATGAAATTTAGCACGCATTATTCTAGGCTTAATTCAGTACGTTATGCCAAATTTCGTGAAAATCGATAGATATACAGGGGCTTTGGTGCACTATTTACCTAAAATCGGATGAAAATATATATGGGAGCTATATGTAAATCTGAACCGATTTTCAAGAAACGTAGCACATATTATTCTGGCCGTAATTCAGTACCCTAAGCCAAATTTCGTGCAAATCGAAAGAAATATAGGGACTTTGGTACACCATTTTCATAAAGTCCGACGAAAATATATATGGGAGCTATATCTAAATCTGAACCAATTTCCACCAAACTTATCACACATGATTCTGGGCCTAATTCAGTACCCTATGCCATATTTCGTGCAAATCGAAAGATATGTAGGGAATTTGGAGCACCATTTACATAAAATCCGACGAAAATATATATGGGAGCTACATCTAAATCTAAACCGATTTTCTCGAAACTTAACACACATGATTTTGAATTTAATTCAGTGCCCTATGCCAAATTTCGTGCAAATCGAAGGATATATAGGGACTTTAGTGCACCATTTACATCAAATCGGACGAAACTATATATTGGAGCTATATCTAAATCTGAATCGATTTTCAGAAAACTTAACACACACCATTCCAGACCTAATTCAGTATACTATGACAAATTTCGTGAAAATCTAAGGAAATATAGGGACTTTGTTGCACCATTTACATAAAATCCAATGAAAATATATATAGGGCTCAATAGGGTTCGTCTTTGGGCCACATAAATGAGCTGCACCAAATTTCATCCAAATCGGTTAATATAATTTTTTTCATACAATAATAACAAAAACTTTAAAATATTTTTCTGCATTGCTCATCGTTTAGAAACGACGTCATTTGATGGTTTTGCGGATAACACTCTTGACGTATGTTTCGAAAAAAGTTTCGGGGGCATTTTCCTCGGCTTGCGGATGTATTCCAAAGCCTTCAAGATGGCAGCTGGGATTGACGGTGGGCAAAAAGTCACTGCTGGATGGGTAACCATAATCAACTATAATCTACTTTGTTGTGGTATTCCGCAGCAATGGCCAGGTAGCTTCGCAGCTTCATAAATATTTTGCCTATTAACAAATAATAGCAAAACGTAGTTTTGTTTTTTTTTATTATCCGCCAAATAACTTAGAGTTGGCAACGTAGATGGTGGCAATGAATTTTGCAGCTTTTTATGGTAACCTGGTTAGGCAACTTCTTAACAGTGAAGAATCGCAGAATTTATATGCTAAACATCGAAAATTATGAAATCATATAAAAACTCAGCGGATGCACGGAAACAGCATCAGTTCATCACTGTCCAGCATAACAGCAAATCAAAATCAAAATGTTCAAATTTGTAAGTTGGACCACACTCTACTCAAACTCCAATTAAAATCAGAAAAACTAATAATCAGTAATTTATCTTCCTCAGGTCGTTCTCTGTGCCTTAATTGTCACCGCTGCCGCCGTTCCAAAACAGGGCGCCAGACACCATGGTGTTAGCTCCAAACACTACTCCGCTCCCGGTGGTGCCACCAGTGACGATGCCCATGCCGAAGTAACCCGCTATGCTGCCGATGTCAATGAACATGGCTTCGAATATGCCTTCGATACCACCAATGCCATCCACGCCACTGCCTCCGGCAATGCCAATGGTGAACACAAAGGTGACTTCGCCTGGATCTCTCCCGAAGGTGAACACATCTCCGTTCAATATGTTGCCGATGAAAATGGTTACCAACCCAGCAGCGACTTGTTGCCTACCCCACCACCAGTCCCAGCTGCCATCTTGAAGGCATTGGAATACATCCGCACTCATCCTCAATATGAGGAAAGCGCCCCCAAGACTTTCGTCAAACAATCCGTTAAGAGTGTTAGCCACAAAGCCGTTAAGGGACGTCGTTTCTAAACGATGAGCAGCAGCGCAGAAGAAGAGGAACGTAGTTAATAATGTTTTTATGTTTTTGTTATTTTTGTTGTAAGAATATAATACGTTATGCGACAAGTATTAAATAAAACATTTATTTTTTTTTTTGTTTTAAAAAAAATTATATTTTTTCATTTAAAAAAATAATTTATAAAAAAAATATTGTTCATGCCAAAAAAAGGGGTAGATTTTTTTAAAAAAATATTTTTCATGATTTACAAAAGGCGGGGATTTAAAAAAAATATTTTTCATGATCTACAACAGGCGTGAATGTTTGAAAAATTATTTTTCATAACCTGCAATAGGTTTGGATTTAAAAAAAAAAATATTTTTTAGGATCTACAATAGGCGTGGATTTTTTTAAAAATATTTTCGAGTTATGCAATATGCGTGGATTTTTGACAAGTTATTTTTCATGATCTACAATAGGCGTGGATCTCTTACAAAATATTTTTCATAACCTTCAATGTCAATTCGCTCAGCCCCAGCTGAGGTGTCTTTTTGTATAGAAACAACTTCCTCAGATTATGATGATTTTTTATTAAATAAAATATTTGTTTTTACTCATTCCATACTTCCACTTTATTGTAAATAAGTTATCCCGTCCTCACATCCTGGGAAGGACTCTTTCATTTTGTTTTTTTTTTTTTTGTTTACCGGCCAAGTTGTGACTTGAGTCCATATAAGTTGTTGAAGGTGTTGTGTTCCTCCTTTGGTGGATGAGTACGAATATATTCCAAGGCCTTCAAGATAGCTTCTGGGATTGGTGGTGGTGTGGGCAACAAGGCACTGCTGGGTTGGTAGCCATTTTCATCGGCCACATATTGGACGGCAATGTGTTCACCTTCGGGCGAAATCCAAGAGAAATCGCCCCTGTGGTCACCATGTTCGTCACCAGAGGCGGCAGCATGAATATTATTGGTGGTGTCGTAGGCATATTGGAAGCCATGATCATTAACATCGGAAACGAAATTTTTAATGTCGGCATGAACTTCATCGCCACTGCTGCCGAAGCCGGAGCTGCTGTCGTATAAGGCTTTGAAAGGTAGCGATTTGAATACACTGGCAGGCAAAGCCACGGCACTGGCTATCATGGCACAAACGACGATCTGCAGAGGATATTTGGGTTATTTCATATTTCAGAATTGTCTACGGAAAATATTTTCTTTCTTCCATTTACTTACAAACTTAAACATGCTGCTTATAAAATTCTCTGTTGGAATTCCTTACTCCAATGGATGATTTCGAAAACTGATGCTGTTCCCAGAAACTAGCCAATGTTTTTATATGTTTTTTGAGGTGGTGTTTAGAGGTGTTACCTTATTATTTTGGTGATAAGTTTGTCTAGTTTACGGCATCCTCTCCCAAATGAATTCATTCATGTATTGTTATGATCGTCAGATTTTAGTATTTTGATATTTCTAAAGCAAATATTTCTGGATCAGGATTGTTATTTAAGTACAGTGGGACCAGGCATAAATTCACCTCGGGATACCAAACAGAAATTATAATCAAGAGTTTTAAATATGGTTTTCAATATTTAAAATAACTCACGATGTCTTGTGTTTGGTGTCTATTTCAGCTGGGTTCCACTGTTGAATGCTAAACTATTTTATGATCGAAATTCTCAAAAGAATATTAATTTATTATAACAAATCGCTGAATAGAAATATGTAGTTAAAACATATTGTGAATCAACCTGAGCTGGCATGCCATACATGCGAGATACAGGTTGCCGTGTAGCGGGAGAATATCTTGAGATTTTTTAAACAATTAAAACTTTTTGAAATCTAATAGCCAATTTGAACTTTCATTTAATTCGATTCGATTAAGTTAACATATTGAGTTGAGCAACTTATCATTTATTTCAAATTTATTAAATATAACAACCATAACAAATATTCTCAAATTAAAAGGCAGGACCTAAGCTGGGGCTGAGAGAATTTTTTTATAGAAAAAAAGCTGGGCTGATCGAATTTTTTTCTATAGAAAAAAGACACCTCAGCTGGGGCTGATTGAATTTTTTTCTATAGAAAAAAGACACCTCAGCTGGGGCTGAGCGTATTTTTTCTATAGAAAAAAGACACCTCAGCCTAAAAACTTATAGTTGGCAAAATAGTTGTTGGCAATGAATTTCGCAGCTGTTTATGGTAATCTGGTTTAGGTAACTTCTTGGCAGTGAATCATTGCAGAATTTTTATACTTAACAACCGAAAATATCAAATCATAACAGTAAAAACATTCAATCTAAAATCAAAATGTTCAAATTTGTAAGTTGGACTACACCCTACCCTATTACTAATTAAAACAAATAATTAATAATTAATAATTTATTTGATTTATCTTCTTCAGGTCGTTCTCTGTGCCTTAATTGCCACCGCTGCCGCCGTTCCAGACGGCAGCGGTGCCAGACACCATGGTGTTAGCTCCAAACACTACTCCGGTTCTGTTAGTGCCACCAGCGACGATGCCCATGCCGAAGTAACCCGCTATGCTGCTGATGTGAATGAACATGGCTTCGAATATGCCTTCGATACCACCAATGCCATCCACGCCACTGCCTCCGGCAATGCCAATGGTGAACACAAAGGTGACTTCGCCTGGATCTCTCCCGAAGGTGAACACATCTCCGTTCAATATGTTGCCGATGAAAATGGTTACCAACCCAGCAGCGACTTGTTGCCCACCCCACCACCAGTCCCAGTTGCCATCTTGAAGGCTTTGGAATACATTCGCACTCATCCTCAATATGAGGAAAGCGCCCCTAAGAATTTCGTCAAGCAATCCGTCAAGAGTGTTAGCCGTAACGCCGTTAAAGGACATCGTTTCTAAACGATCAGCAACGCAGAAGAAGATGAACATTGTAAATATTTTTTTTTAATGTTTTTATTGTAAGAAAAAATTGTTATGCGACAAGTATTAAATAAAAAATTAAGTTTTTTGCTTTAAAAAAAATATATATACCTATATTTTTTTCATTTAAAAAACAAAATTATGAAAAATTATTTTGAATAACCAACAATAGGCGTAGTTTTTAAAAAATATATTTTTATTGGCCAACAATGGGCGTGGATTTCTTAAGAAATCTTTTGTTTTTGATCTACAATCTATGACCTACAATATATGACCCTATGTCAAATTTCGTGCAAATCGAAAGATATATATTGGTGCAACATTTACATAAAATCGGACGAAACTACATACGGGAGCTATATCTAAGTCTTAACCGATTTTCTCGAATCTTAACACACGTCATTCTGGACCTCATTCCTTATCCTATGCCAAATTTCGTGCAAATCGAAGGATATATAGGGACTTTGGTGCAACATTTACATAAAATCGGACGAAACTACATACGGGAGCTATATCTAAGTCTTAACCGATTTTCACGAAACTTAGCACACATGATTCTGGGCCTAATTCAGTACCCTATGCCAAATTTCGTGCAAATCGAAGGATATATAGGGACTTTGGTGCAACATTTACATAAAATCGGACGAAACTACATACGGGAGCTATATCTAAGTCTTAACCGATTTTCACGAAACTTAGCACACATGATTCTGGGCCTAATTCAGTACCCTATGCCAAATTTCGTGCAAATCGAAGGATATATCGGGACATTGGTACACACATTAAATCGAACGAAAATATATATGGGAGCTATATCTAAATCTGAACCGATTTTCTCGTCATTCTAGACTCAATTCGGTACGCTATGCAACATTTCGTGCAAGTCGATAAATATGTAGGGACTTTGGTGCACCATTTATATAAAATCCGATTATGAACCGATTTTCACGAAACTTAACACACATTGTTCTAGACATAATTCAGTAGGCTATGACAAATTTCGTGTAAATCGAGGGATATATAGGGACTTTGGTGCACCATTTAGAAAACATATATATTGGAGCTATAGGGTTCTTGGGCCACATAAATGAGTTCCACCAAATTTTATCCAAATCGTTTTATAAATGCGGCACATACTTTGTTTACAATTTAACACCAACAGACGAACGGACGAGCATGTATAAATCGAATGAGATAGTGATATTCTAAAAAGGAACCATGGGTCTATATTGATTACTTTAGTCTGTTACAAACATATGCACAAAAACATAATACCCTGTACCACAGTGTGGTGAAGGGTATAATAATAAATGTTTTCTTTTTAATATTTGTCGCATAACATTTTTTTCGTACAACAAAAATAAGAAAAACTTTAAAATATCACTCTGCGGATAACACTCTTGACGTATGTTTCGTCAAAAGTTTCGGGGGCGTTTTCCTCGGCTCGCGGATGAGTGCGGATGTATTCCAAAGCCTTCAATATGGCAGCTGGGATTGACGGTGGGCAACAAGTCACTGCTGGGTTGGTAACCATAATCAACTATAATCTGCTTTGTTGCGGTATTCCGCAGCAATGGCCAGGCAGCTTCGCAGCTTCATAAATATTTTGCCTATTAACAAATAATAGCAAACCCAATAACTTATAGTTGGCAACGTAGATGGTGGCAATGAATTTTGCAGCTTTTTATGGTAACCTGGTTTAGGCAACTTCTTAACAGTGAAGAATCGCAGAATTTATATGCTAAACATCGAAAATTATGAAATCATATAAAAACCCAGCGGATGCACGGAAACAGTATCAGTTCATCACTGTCCAGCATAACAGCAAACCAAAATCAAAATGTTCAAATTTGTAAGTTGGACTTCACCCTACCATATCACTAATTAAAACAAATAATTAAAAATCAATAATTTATTTAATTTATCTTCTATAGGTCGTTCTCTGTGCCTTAATTGCCACCGCTGCCGCCGTTCAAAAACAGGGCGCCAGACACCATGGTGTTAGCTCCAAACACTACTCCGCTCCCGGTGGTGCCACCAGTGACGATGCCCATGCCGAAGTAACCCGCTATGCTGCTGATGTCAATGAACATGGCTTCGAATATGCCTTCGATACCACCAATGCCATCCACGCCACTGCCTCCGGCAATGCCAATGGTGAACACAAAGGTGACTTCGCCTGGATCTCTCCCGAAGGTGAACATATCTCCGTTCAATATGTTGCCGATGAAAATGGTTACCAACCCAGCAGCGACTTGTTGCCCACCCCACCACCAGTCCCAGCTGCCATCTTGAAGGCTTTGGAATACATCCGCACTCATCCTCAATATGAAGAAAGCGCCCCTAAGACTTTGGTCAAGCAATCCATCAAGAGTGTTAGCCACAAAGCCGTTAAGGGACGTCGTTTCTAAACGATCAACAACGAATTTTTTAATGTTTTTGTTATTTTTGTTGTAAGAAATAAAAAAGAAAAAAAAATATTATGCGACAAGTATTAAATAAAGAATTTATTTTTTTGTTTTAAAACAAATTATATTATTTCATTTAGAAAAAATATTTATGATCGTTAATTGACATGACATTTTTTCAAATATTTGTCATACCCATCTATAGCCTGAGATTTAAAAAAAAAAATATTTTTCTATAGAAAAAAATTCGCTCCGCCCCAGCTGAGGTGTATTTTTTCTGTAGAAAAAAAATTCGCTAAGCCCCAGCTGAGGTGTCTTTTTTCTATAGAAGAAAAATTCCTCAGCCACAGCTGAGGTGTCTTTTTTCTATAGAAAAAAATTCGCTCAGCCCCAGCTGAGGTGTATTTTTTATAGAAAAAAATCCTCAGCCCCAGCTGAGTTCCTGTCTTTTTACTCAACTCAATATGTTAACTAAATCGAATCGAATTAAATGAAAGTTCAAATTGGCTATTAGATTTCAACAAGTTTTAATTGTTTAAAAAAATCTCAAGATATTCTCCCGCTACACGGCAACCTGTATCTCGCAGGTATGGCATGCCAATTCAGGTTGATTCACAATATGTTTTAACTACATATTTCTATTCAGCGATTTGTTATAATAAATTAATATTCTTTTGAGAATTTCGATCATAAAATATGTTAGCATGGAACAGTGGAACCCAGCTGAAGTCGACACCAAACTCAAGACACCGTGAGTTGTTTTAAATGTTAAAACCAATATTTAAAGCTCTTGATTATAATTTCTGTTTGGTATCCCGAGGTGCATTTATGCCTGGTCCCACTGTACATTAATAACAATCCTGATCCAAAAATATTTGCTTTAGAAATGTCAAAATACTAAAATCTGGCGATCATAACAATGCATGAATGAATTCATTTGGGAGAGGATGCCGTAAACTAGACAAACTTATCACCAAAATAAAAAGGTAACACCTCTAAACACCGCCTCAAAAAACATATAAAAACATTGGCTAGTTTCTGGGAACAGCATCAGTTTTCGAAATCATCCATTGGAGTAAGGAATTCCAACAGAGAATTTTATAAGCAGCATGTTTAAGTTTGTAAGTAAACGGAAGGAAGAAAATATTTTCCATAGACAATTCTGAAATATGAAATAAACCAAATATCCTCTGCAGATCGTCGTTTGTGCCATGATAGCCAGTGCCGTGGCTTTGCCTCCCTTAGTAGGAATAACCCTAAAATCTCTAGACTACTCGGGCAGCATTGGCAGCCACCATGTCAGCGGCGATGAAGTTCATGCCGACATTAAAAATTTCGTTTCCGATGTTAATGATCATGGCTTCCAATATGCCTACGACACCACCAATAATATTCATGCTGCCGCCACTGGTGACGAACATGGTGACCACAGGGGTGATTTCTCTTGGATTTCGCCCGAAGGTGAACACATTGCCGTCCAATATGTGGCCGATGAAAATGGCTACCAACCCAGCAGTGCCTGGTTGCCTACACCACCACCAATCCCAGAAGCTATCTTGAAGGCCTTGGAATATATTCGTACTCATCCACCAAAGGAGGAACACAACACCTTTAACAACTTCCATGGGCTCAAGTCACAACTTGGACGGTAAACCAAAAAAGAAAAAAAATAATGTACGAGTCCTTTCCAGATGTGTGGACAGGATAACTTATTTACAATAAAGTGGAAGTATGGAATGAGCAAAAACAAATATTTTATTTAATAAAAAATCATAATAATCTGAGGACGTTGTTTCTATACAAAAAGACACCTCAGCTGGGGCTGAGCAAATTGACATAGAAGGCTATGAAAAATATTTTGTAAAAGATCCACACCTATTGTAGATCATGAAAAATAACTTGTCAAAAATCTACGCATATTACATAACTCGAAAATATTTTTAAACAAATCCACGCCTATTGTAGATTATGAAAAATAAGTTTTCAAACATTCACGCCTGTTGTAGATCATGAAAAATATTTTTTTTTTAAATCCCCGCCTTTTGTAGATCATGAAAAATAATTTTTTAAAAAAATCTACCCCTTTTTTTGGCATGAAAAATATTTTTTTATAAATTATTTTTTTAAATGAAAAAAATATAATTTTTTTAAAACAAAAAAACTTAAATGTTTTATTTAATACTTGTCGCATAACACATTATCTTCCTACAACAAAAATAACAAAAACATAAAAACATTATTAACTACGTTCCTCTTCTTCTGCGCTGCTGCTCATCGTTTAGAAACGACGTCCCTTAACGGCTTTGTGGCTAACACTCTTGACGGATTGTTTGACGAAAGTCTTGGGGGCGCTTTCCTCATATTGAGGATGAGTGCGAATGTATTCCAAAGCCTTCAAGATGGCAGCTGGGACTGGTGGTGGGGTGGGCAACAAGTCGCTGCTGGGTTGGTAACCATTTTCATCGGCAACATATTGAACGGAGATGTGTTCACCTTCGGGAGAGATCCAGGCGAAGTCACCTTTGTGTTCACCGTTAGCATTGCCGGAGGCAGTGGCGTGGATGGCATTGGTGGTATCGAAGGCATATTCAAAACCATGTTCATTGACATCAGCAGCATAGCGGGTTACTTCGGCATGGGCATCGTCACTGGTGGCACCAACGGAAGCGGAGTAGTGTTTGGAGCTAACACCATGGTGTCTGGCGCCCTGTTTTTGAACGGCGGCAGCGGTGGCAATTAAGGCACAGAGAACGACCTGAAGAAGATATATGAAATAAATTATTGATTATTAATTATTTTAATTTTTTTAATTAGTGATAGGGTAGGGTGTTGCCGAACTCACAAATTTGAACATTTTGAGTTTTGTTTGAATGTTTTTACTGTTATGCTCGACAGTGATAAACTGATGCTGTTTCTAAGCATTCACCGAGTTTTTATATGATTTGATATTTTCGGTTGTTTAGCATAAAATTTCTGCAATGATTCACTGCCAAGAAGTTACCAAAACCAGATTACCACAAACAGCTGCGAAATTCATTGCCAACAACTATGTTTGCGAACTATAAGTTTTTAGGCTGAGGTGCATTTTTCTTTATGAAAATTCGCTCAACCCCGTTCTTGTTGTTTTTATACCCTACACAACTATGTTGTCAGGGTATTATAGTTTTGTGCGGCCCCAAGAGTTTGTAACGCCGCGAAATATTGGTCCTAGACCCACCTTTAAGTATACCGGTCATATCTCGACTAGCTGAGTCGATCTAGACATGTGTGTCCGTCCGTCTGTCCGTCTGTCCATTATAATTTTAAACACGATACAGGCCACATTTATGGACCAATATTCACGAAATTTTGCATGTAGGGAGGGTTCGGTCCAATGAAGACCCCTATTGTTTTTGGAAAAGATCGGTTAATATTTAGGGGATGAAATGGACCAAAAACTTTATTTTTGTCTGATTTTCTGGTCGCTCCAGAGGCCGTAATTATGGCGCAAACACCGCGAATTTTTGCATGGAGAAGGGGATCGGGCCAAGGAATAAGCATGCCAGTTTTGATAAAGATCGGCCAATATTTGGAGGCTCTAATGGTCCCTCACTTTTATGTGAAAAATTATAAAATTAGTATTTTATAGCGTATATATATACTCCCGAAGGACATAGACCCGAGAAGTTGATGGTATATCCAAGAGGAATGGTTGACCTTTAAATTGATACCAATTATATTTTCGTATGTACTCGGATGTGGGAATTACACTTAAATATTTACAGGTGCTTACGTATTCAGACATTAATTAGTAAACCAAAACCACACTAGAGGGCGGAAATATAGCGCTGATCGCTTTGAAAATTTCCATGAGATTTCAATTATGGTCAAGAACAACGTCTATAATTTTCGGTGATGATCAGATAATAATTTTGGGATGAAGTGGACCAAAAACATAACTTTTTGTGTTTTTTTTCTGAGTCGATGTATAGGCCACAGTTGGGGGTCCAACATCACAACATTACCCTCGGTAAAGAGAATATGGACAAGTACAGCCCTCGTCTACTGAATATTAGTAATATTTGTTGACCTTTAGTCGGGTTTCAAGAGGGTGCAAATAACGCAAAGTTAGATTTTCGTGGAAGTTGTGTAGGGTATTATATGGTCGGCCCAGTCCGACTATACTGCTCCGCTTACTGGTTTTTATTATACCCTTCACTACACTGTGGTACAGGGTATTATGTCTTTGTGCATATGTTTGTAACAGGCAAAAGGAATCGAGATAGACCCATGGTTCCTTTTGAGAGTTTGCATAGAATCACTTTCTGAGTCGATTTATGCATGTCCGTCCGTCTGTTGATGTTAAATTGTAAACAAAGTACAGGTCGCATTTATGATCCCATTTGGATGAAATTTGGCACAGCTCACTTATTTGGCCCAAGGACGAACCCTATTGAAATTGGGAAAAATCGGTTCAGATTTAGATATAGCTCCCATATATATTTTCGTCCGATTTAAGGTAAATGGTGTACCAAAGTCCCTATATATCTTTCGATTTGCACGAAATTTGGTATAGCCTACTGAATTAGGTATAAAATGATGTATGCTAAGTTTCGTGAAAATCGGTTCAGATTTAGATATAGCTCCCATATATAGTATCGCCCGATTTTATGTAAATGGTGTACCTAAGTCCCTATATATCTCTCGATTTGCACGAAATTTGGTATAGCCTACTGAATTAGGTCTAAAATGATGTATGCTAAGTTTCGTGAAAATCGGTTCAGATTTAGATAAAGCTCCCATAAATAGTTTCGGCCGATTTTAGGTAAATGGTGCACCAAAGTCCCTGAAAATGATTTGATTTGCGCGAATTGTGGCATAGCGTATTGAATTAAGTCTAGAATGACTTGTGCTAAGTTTCGTGAAAATCGGTTCAGATTTAGATATAGCTCCCATATATAGTATCGCCCGATTTTATGTAAATGGTGTACCTAAGTCCCTATATATCTTTCGATTTGCACGAAATTTGGTATAGCCCACTGAATTATGTCTAGAATGATGTATGCTAAGTTTCGTGAAAATCGGTTCAGATTTAGATATAGCTCCCATATATAGTTGCGGCCGATTTTAGGTAAATGGTGCACCAAAGTCCCTGAAAATGATTTGATTTGCACGAATTTTGGCATAGCGTATTGAATTAGGTTTATAATGACTTGTCAAGTTTCGTGAAAATCGGTTCAGATTTATATATAGCTGCCATATATAGTATCGCCCGATTTTTGGTAAATGGTGTACCAAAGTCTCTATATATCTTTCGATTTGCACGAAATTTGGTATATCCCACTGAATTAGGTCTAGAATGATGTGTGCTAAGTTTCGTGAAATTCGGTTCAGATTTAGATATAGTTTCGCCCGATTTTAGGTAAATGGTGTACCAAAGTCCCTGCAAATCTTTTGATTGGCAAGCATTTTTGGCATATCGTACTAAATTAAGTCTAGAATGATGTGATGGTTTTAAGTAAATTGTGCACTAAAGATGCATAGCTAGGCCGATTGACACAACGTACTGAAATTTTTGCTTGAAATCGGATCAGATATAGATATAACTTAGCTTCCTTATAGATTTTTCTATAGAAAAAATTCCTCAGCCCCAGCTGAGGTGTATTTTTCTATAGAAAAACAAAATCGCTCAGCCCCAGCTGAGGTGTCTTTTTCTACAGAAAAAAAAAATTCTACAGAAAAAAAAATTCGCTCAGCCCCAGCTGAGGTGTCTTTTTCTATAGAAAAAAATTCGCTCAGCCCCAGCTGAGGTGTCTTTTTCTATAGAAAAAAATTCGCTCAGCCCCAGCTGAGGTGTCTTTTTCTATAGAAAAAAATTCGCTCAGCCCCAGCTGAGGTGTCTTTTTTCTATAGAAAAAAATTCGCTCAGCCCCAGCTGAGGTGTCTTTTTTCTATAGAAAAAAATTCGCTCAGCCCCAGCTGAGGTGTCTTTTTTCTATAGAAAAAAAATTCGCTCAGCCCCAGCTTTTTTTCTATAAAAAAATTCTCTCAGCCCCAGCTGAGGTGTCTTTTTTCTATTTGTTGTTATATTTAATAAATTTGAAATAAATGATATGTTGCTCAACTCAATATGTTAACTAAATCGAATCGAATTAAATGAAAGTTCAAATTGGCTATTAGATTTCAACAAGTTTTAATTGTTTAAAAAATCTCAAGATATTCTCCCGCTACATGCCAACCAGCATCTCGCACGTATGGCATGCCAATTCAGGTTGATTCACAATATGTTTTAACTACATATTTCTATTTAGCGATTTCTTATAATAAATTAATATTCTTTTGAGAATTTCGATCATAAAATAGGTTAGCATGGAACAGTGGAACCCAGCTGAAATAGACACCAAACACAAGACACCGTGAGTTATTTTAAATATTAAAAACAATATTTAAAGCTCTTGATTATAATTTGTGTTTGGTATCCCGAGGTGCAAATACACCAGGCATAGGTCCCACTGTACATAAATAAGAATCGTGATCCAAAAATATTTGCTTTAGAAATGTCAAAATACTACAATGTTTATCTGTATTTGGTAATCTGGCGATCATAACAATACATGAATGAATTCATTTGGGAGAGGATGTCATAAACTAGACAAACTTATCTCCAAAATAAAAAGGTAACACCTCTAAACACCGCCTCAAAAAACATATAAAAACATTGGCTAGTTTCTGGGAACAGCATCAGTTTTCGAAATCATCCATTGGAGTAAGGAATTCCAACAGAGAATTTTATAAGCAACATGTTTAAGTTTGTAAGTAAACGGAAGGAAGAAAATATTTTCCATAGACAATTCTGAAATATGAAATAACCCAAATATCCTCTGCAGATCGTCGTTTGTGCCATGATAGCCAGTGCCGTGGCTTTGCCTCCAAACTCTATAAAATCTCTGATATACTCGGGCGGCAGCGGCATCCACCATGTCAGCGGCAGCCACCATGCCAGCGGCGATGAAGTTCATGCCGACATTAAAAATTTCGTTTCCGATGTTAATGATCATGGCTTCCAATATGCCTACGACACCACCAATAATATTCATGCTGCCGCCTCTGGTGACGAACATGGTGACCACAGGGGTGATTTCTCTTGGATTTCGCCCGAAGGTGAACACATTGCCGTCCAATATGTGGCCGATGAAAATGGCTACCAACCCAGCAGTGCCTTGTTGCCCACACCACCACCAATCCCAGAAGCTATCTTGAAGGCCTTGGAATATATTCGTACTCATCCACCAAAGGAGGAACACAACACCGCTGCCTCTTATCGTAGCAACTCCCTCAGCAGCAGTCATCTCAAGTCACTTTTTGGACGGTAAACCAAAAACGAAAAAAAATGTAAGAGTCCTTTCCGGAATGTGAGGAAAGGATAACATATTTACAATAAAGTGGAAGTATGGAATGAGCAAAAGCAAATATTTTATTTAAAGAAAAATCATAATAATCTGAGCGAATTTTTTTTTATATAGAAAGGGGACATATCAGCTGGGGCTGAGCGAATTTATTTCTATAGAAAAAGGGACACCTCAGCTGGGGCTGAGCGATTTTTTTTTTCTATAGAAAAGGGACACTTCAGCTGGGGCTGGGCGAATTTTTTTTTTTTTTTGGGGCTTTTTTTTTCTATAGATTTTTTTTTTCTGTAGAAAAAAAGACACCTCAGCTGGGGCTGAGCGAATTTTTTTTCTATAGAAAAAAGACACCTCAGCTGGGGCTGAACGATTTTTTTTCTATAGAAAAAAGACACCTCAGCTGGGGCTGAGCGAATTTTTTTCTATATAAAAAAGACACCTCAGCTGGGGCTGAGCGATTTTTTGTTCTATAGAAAAAAGACACCTCAACTGGGGCTGAGCGAATTTTTTTTCTATAGAAAAAGACATTGAAGGTTATGGAAATTTTTTTTTAAAAAATCCACGTCTCTTGTTTGAGCTGTGGTTTTTGTTTTGTATTTTTTTTAACAGTACCCCTCCTAAAATTAGTTTAATTTAGGAAATATTTTATCTCATGATTTTTTAGATATTTCTTTCCGCTTTCATTAAGATTTTCACACATGAATGCCTACAGAAATTTCGTGTGCAATTAATTAAAATTTTATTTCAAAAGAATCTCTAGGCAATAGTTATGTTTATTAGGTGAAGCCGACGTTCGGGCTTAGGCCAAAAAAAACCAGTAAGGAAAGTAGTAAAGTCGGACGGGGCCGACTATATGATACCCTTCACCACTATGGGTATATTAAACAGGACTATTAACATGAAATTGGATGAAATAATATATGTGATATTTATCTTAATGTGAATCTACCTAGATATATCGACAAAGTATGTAAATCGACTTCAAACAAATATAAATAGGTCATACGTTGGGCTATGTCTGTACTTCTTGAAAACGCAACTACGTAATTCTATGCTCAATTTTGTACGTTGTGCAAAATTTGATGTGAATCTGACTAACATGAGGAGTTTGATGCGAAAATATATATGGAAGCTCCATCCAAATATTAAGCGATTTCAAGCAAACTTGTCATAGGTTAGGTTATACTAATTTCAGAACGTTTTGCTCCTATTGGTGTCTTGGTGCGTCAATTACTTAAAATATGTGAGCTCTATATGTGCGAGCTATACAGAAATCTGGACCGATTTTCTCGAAACTTGGCAGACATCACTCTAGGCCCAATTCAGTACGTTATGCCAAATTTGGTGCAAATGAAAATATATATAGGGACTTTGGGGCACCATTACATGAAATCGGACGAAACTATATATGGGAGCTATATCTAAATCTGAACCGATTTTCGAGAAACTTAACACACATCATTCTAGACCTAATTCAGTACGCTGTGCAAAATTTCGTTCAAATCGAAAGATATATAGGGACTTCGGTGCACCATTTACATTAAATCGGACGAAACTATATGTGGGAGCTATATCTAAATTTCGTCCGATTTTCTTGAAACTCAGCACACATCATTCTAGGCCTCATTCATTACGCTGTACCGAATTTCGTGCAAATCGAATCATATATAGGGACTTTGGTGCACCATTTACATAAAACTATATATGGGAGCTATATCTTAATCTGGACCGATTTTCACGAAACTTTGCAGACGTCATTCAAGGCTTAATTCCGTACGTTATGCCAAATTTCGTGCAAATCGAAAGATATATAGGGACTTTGGGGCACCATTTACATGAAATCGGACGAAATTATATATGGGAGCTATATTTGGACCGATTTTCTCGAAACTTGGCAGACATCACTCTAGGCTTAATTCAGTACGTTATGTCAAATTTCGTGCAAATCGAAGGATATATAGGGACCGCACCATTTACATGAAATCGGACGAAACTATATATGGGAGCTATATTCATTTTCACGAAACTTGGCAGACATCATTCTAGACCTAAATGATTAGGCTGTACCAAATTTCGTGCAAATGAAAGATATAATTCACATTAAATCGGTTAAATATATATATGGGAGCTATATCTAAATCTGAACCGATTTTTCCCAATTTCAATAGGGTTCGTCCTTGGGCCGAATAAGTGACCTATGCCAAATTTCATCCAATTCGGATCATAAATGCGACCTGTACTTTGTTTACAATTTTACATGGACAGACGGACGGACGGACGGACAGACGGACATGCATAAATCGACTCAGAAAGTGATTCTATGCATATTCTCAAAAGGAACCATGGGTTTAACTCGATTATTTTTGCCTGTTACAAACATATGCACAAAGACATAATACCCTGTACCACAGTGTGGTGAAGGGTATAAATATTCCGGGCAAATTTTACTACCTACAATAGAAATAAGTAATAGAATTTAAAATATTTTAGAGGAATTGGTCCCTTGACATGACATACATGATGAAGTAAACGAATACCGCAAGTTTTTCGTGTTAAAAGTCCCTCTCATCTTTCTTATTTGAACTGCTAAAAATGCAAATAGAATTTTTCCCATTCCACCCTAATATCCCAAAACGAGTTCCTCCATATATTTTTTTTATCGTTTAAATGAACTAATTGACATATTTGCTTAAAGTAAACAAATTTTTGTCGTCGTAACTAGTTTGCGTCTCCAATCTGATATTCGTTAGAATTCGCCGCACACACATCTTCATATACAACAATATTAGCAACACAATGAAATGAAACTTTGTAAATGTTCACTCATATGCACGAGTGAGTGCACACGAACGTACACCAACACACACACACACACACACGCATAATAAGTAGTCACTTTCATGTCATCTCATATTTGTGTGTCTATGGAGCAAAAAATTCCTTAAGAAATATGTCATAATTTTTGTTGAATGCAAGAAGAAGAAGAAAACGACGAAGAAGAAGAAGTCTTTCCTTACCATCAAGTCAAGAGATAGCTAATTACAAGTTTTGAGATTTAATTAATATTCAAACAGGAGTTCAGAAGTCAGAAAGAAGATGTCAAAATGGAAGAAAGTTGGAGGAAGGATGTAGATTTTTTCTTCTGCAGAAAAACCAATTCTCAACAGATTTTTTCTGAAAGAAATTGTTTTTTGTTAGTACCTCAATTTTTTTTTTTAAATAAAATCACAATTTTATAATTTTTTAGATAAATTTTTATTTATTATGTTATTTTTAAATAATTTAATTTATTTTTAGATTTTGTAGAATTTTTTTTTTTTTAATTTGTGACATTTAATTCCTCTTCTTCAATCTCACCAAAATACCATTTTCCGATTTGAGAGTAACTCTAATATTTAAAATCGGATCATATTCACTTTCGGGTACACAACCCTTACGGGAGTGATCATTAATGCCCGATGACAGGCCATCCTTGGCGGGTAGAATTTCATAGTTTCGTAATACCTGAGAGAGCAGCGATTTCAATTCGAACATGGCAAATCTTTCGGCTGAAAAGAAAGAGGGGATATTTTTTATTTTCACAAAAAATTGGGAAAAATTGTTTTAATATAATATATTGTTAAGGTAAATGGTGCACCATAGACTAAATATGTTTTTTTAAAATTTCGCACAGCGTATTGCATAAGACACTAGAATGATATGTGCTAAAAAAAATTAAAAAATCCATATATATTTTCGCCCGATTTAAGGTAAATGGTGCACCATAGTCACTAAATATGTTTCGATTTGTACGAAATTTGGCACGGCGTACTGAATGAAGCCTAGAATGATGTGTGCTAAGTTTCGTGAAAATCGGTTCAGATTTAGATATAGCTCCCATTAATTTTTTGGTCCGATTTTATGTAAATGGTGCACCAAAGACCCTAAATACCTTTCGATTTGCACAAAATTTGGCATAGCGTACTGAATTAAGTCTAGAATGATGTGTGCTAAATTTCGTAAAAATCGGTTCAGATTTGGATATAGCTCCCATATATATTTTCGTCAGATTTAAGGTAAATGGTGGATCAATGTCCTTAAATATCTTTCCATTTGCACGAAATTTGGCACAGCATACTGAATTAGGTCTAGATAATGTGTGTTAAGTTTCGTGAAAATCGGTTCAGATTTATATATAGCTCCATATATATTTTCGTCCGATTTAAGGTAAATGGTGCACCAAAGACCCTAAATACCTTTCGATTTGCACAAAATTTGGCATAGCGTACTGAATTAAGTCTAGAATGATGTGTGCTAAGTTTCATGAAAATCGGTTCAGATTTAGATATAGCTCCCATATATATTTTCGTCCGATTTAAGGTAAATGGTGCACTAAAAACCTTGTATACTCTTCGATTTGCACGAAATTTGGCACAGCATACTGAATTGAGTCTATAATGATATGTGCTAAGTTTAGTAAAAATCGGTTCAGATTTAGATATAGCTCCCCTATATATTTTCGTCCGATTTAAGGTAAATGGTGCACCAAAGACCCTAAATATCATTAGATTTATACGAAATTTGGCACAGCGTACTGAATTAAGCCTAGAATGATGTGTGCTAAGTTTCGTGAAAATCGGTTCAGATTTCGATATAGTTCCGATTAATATTTTCGTCCGATTTAAGGTAAATGGTGCACCAAAGACCCTTTATATTCTTCGATTTGCACGAAATTTGGCACAGCGTACTGACTTAGGCCTAGAATGATGTGTCCTAAGTTTCCTGAAAATCGGTCCAGATTTTGATATATCTCCCATATACATTTTCTTTCGATTTGCACGAAAGTGGTGTAGGTTATCATATATTCGGTCCAGTCCGACTTTACCACTTTCCTTACTGGTTTCTTATTAGCTTACCTATACACTTCCTTGGTCCCGCACTGAAGGGCACACTCTTAAAGGCCTCGATGCCCTTCTTTTCCAAATCATTGGCATTGACATTGGCAAAACGTTCCGGTTTGAATTCACAGGGATTTTCGAAATACCTCTCATTATAGCCCATGGCAATGAGGCACATGATGACAGTGGTGCGGCGGGCAATCTTCGTGCCATCTGAAAATAAATCCACAAATTAATATCCTGAATTGATCAGACTCCCCCCTTCCTTCGTACTTATATCAATTCCCTTGCGATTGGTTCTGGCAATCAATGGCACCGCAGGATATAAACGCAATGTTTCCCTTATCACCATTTCCAAATAGGACATCTTCTGCAGATCCTCAATTGTTGCCTCCACATCCTTAAATTCCTGACCTTGTTTATCTGCAAATATTTTCTTTTGTTCTTCGAAGGCTTGCTGCTGTATGGCTGGGTGGCGAGACAGGGTGTAGAGGGTAAAGGATAATGCCGATGCAGTGGGATCATGACCCTAATTTGGGAAGAAAAGGAGAAATGACATGAAGGAAGCGAATAAAGAAAATCAGGAAATGGAAATACTTACCGTAAATATGAATGTCGACAATTCTTCAAATATTTCACGGAATTTCAATTCTCTTCCATCCAATTTGGCATTTAAGAGGACATTTAAAAATGGTTTTAATTCGTCCTTGTTAATTAAATCCTTGCCAGCATCGTCTTTCAATTGGCGGCGACGTTGTTCGACAATCTGCAAAAAAGACGGAACAAAACAAAAATTAATTCCTTCTTCAGGATACGGATACAAAAAACCAAAAATTCCCCTCCCGATACCTCGAAGTTCTCCCTTAACTCACCCGATTCATTTCCGTTTTCAATTCCCTCAGGGCCTTGCGCTGCTTGCTAAAGTACGGTGTCAAATAGAACAGGGTATCGAATCGCTTGACAATACTAAAGGTACGCTCCTGGATGACATCACACAAACTATTGGAATGTTCGAAGTAAACCAGCATCAAAAGAAAATTCGCAGGATAAAGGATAATGCAAGGAAAATATTTGTAAAAATCAACATTACGAACATGATTATCAGAATAAAGGATATGAGGAATCCTTTAACAAGGATGCTTTACTTACTCAGCAATGGCGGCATGCATATTTGATGGCTGGTCATCCAGGGAGTTACTGGGGACACCGGTGGCATTTTCTGAAAGTATGGGGAAATTTTTATAAAAAAATAGGTCAAAGGGGATTTTTTCTATAGAACAAAAGTTTGGGAACCTGGAGAATCCTCAGAGGCCATATAAGAATTTTTCCTATATAAAAAATTAATCCTCAGGTATCCGAGTAGAATTTTCTAGAAACAGAGACCTCAACTGGGACTGAGGATTTTTTTCTATAGAAAAATATACCTCAACTGGGCCTGAGCGATTTTTTTCTATAGAAAAAGAGACCTCAACTGGGGCTGAGCGAATTTTTTCTGTAGAAAAAGAGACCTCAACTGGTGCTGAGCGAATTTTTTCTATAGAAAAAGAGACCTCAACTGGGGCTGAGCGAATTTTTTCTATAGAAAAAGAGACCTCAACTGGGGCTGAGCGAATTTTTTCTATAGAAAAAAATACCTCTACTGGGGCTGAGCGAATTTTTTCTATAGAAAAAGAGACCTCAACTGGGGCTGAGGAATTTTTTCTATTGAAAAAGAGACCTCAACTGGGGCTGAGGAATTTTTTTATAGAAAAAGAGACCTCACCGGTGGCATTTTCTGCAAGTTTGGGGAAATTTTTATAAAAAATTAGGTCTAAGAGTATTTTTTCCATAGAACAAGAGCTCAGAAACCTGGAGAATCCCCAGGGGCCAGATAAGAATTTTTCCTATAGAAAAAAATAATAATCCTCAGGTATCAGCGTACAATTTTCTCTATAGAAAAAGCAATGCCTCCCTCTGAGATCTGAGGTCCACGCCTATTGTAGATCATGAAAAATATTTTTTTTTTAAATCCACGCCTATTGTAGGTCATGAAAAATATTTGCTTAAAAATTTTCTGTAGAAAAAACTTCCCTAGGTACCGCAGGAGAATTTTGTCTATAGAAAAAAAAAATCCTCAGGTACCTGAGAAGAAATATTTCCTTAGAAAAAGTTTCAGCAGGTCCAAGTGAAAAAATCTGATCAGATCCCTGAGGACTTTTTTCTATAGTAAAAATTCTCCTTAGGTCCTTGATTTTTTTCTATAAAAAAATATACTTCAGGAATCTCATGAGAAATTACCCTTGAGACCAGGAGAACCATTTTCCTTAGGTTCTAACGACTTTTTTTCTTCTATAAAATAGGTAATTTTACCCTCTACTTACCACACACAATATCCAACGTACACTTCCGAACAATCTCCTGGATATCAAAGACCTCACCATCCTCGGCATGCTGCCGCAATTTGTTTGCGAATTTTTTACCCGTTTTATTTACAACCTTCATATAACCCTCAACGGCTTTGTTATCAAAGGCAGGCATATATAATTTTTGATGTTTAAGCCATCTGGCACCGGAGCTGGTTAACAGGCCGTCACCCAACCATGGACGCAGGAATGAATACAAATGTTCTTTGTACAACAAAGATGAGCTGGAGAGCATGTTCTGTAAATACGTAAACGAGGAAGAGAAATAACGAAAGGATTATTTGTTATGGAAAAAAATGCCACACGCACACATGGGTGTGGGAGTGGGTGTGTATATGTGTGGGTATGGTGATGTACCTGTATTTCGGCTGGGTCACTCAGCATGACATGATATTGAAAGAAGACCAACGAACGGAATCCTTGGAAATCATATTTCCGGCAATATTGTAAAATTTTCTTGGGATATTCTGGAAAATAGAGCGAATGAGAGAGAGAGAGAAATTTAAATTAGAGCAGAAATTAAAAACTTTGGTATTTTCCCGACCTTGTGCGGTAAATTCTTTTATCTTTTTTTTGTTGTTGTTCCGAATATTCGCTTAGTTAAAATATAAATTGTGTATCATAAAGGAGTGTGTGTTGCACACATACACTCATACATATGTATATACACATATGGAGTATGCCTATTTTATTAGCATACATTTTTAATTACCGGCTAATGTTCATCCTCCATACCTAACTTTCTGGCCCCACTTTGTCATAATCTAATTTATTCGCTAATTGCTAACAAATTGTTTATGTTTTGGGACTTATCGCAAACAAGTTCGGAAGATAAGGTAGGAATTTTATTTATGCGTAAAAATATAGAAAAAAAAAATAACGGCAAGGATGATGAAAAACACACCCCAACTGGGTCTGAAATATACCTCAACAGGGGTTGAGGAATTTTTCCCATAGAAAAAATACTGGGGCTGAGTGAATTTTTTCTATAGAAAAAGAGACCTCAACTGGGGCTGAGCGAATTTTTTCTATAGAAAAATATAGCTCAACTGGGGCTGAGCGAATTTTTTCTATAGAAAAATATAGCTCAACTGGGGCTGAGCGAATTTTTTCTATAGAAAAATATAGCTCAACTGGGGCTGAGCGAATTTTTTCTATAGAAAAATATAGCTCAACTGGGGCTGAGCGAATTTTTTCTATAGAAAAATATAGCTCAACTGGGGCTGAGCGAATTTTTTCTATAGAAAAATACACCTCAGCTGGGGCTGAGCGAATTTTTTCTATAGAAAAATCTACCTCAACGGGGACTGAGCGATTTTTTTCTATAGAAAAAGAGACCTCAACTGGGGCTGAGCGAATTTTTTTCTATAGAAAAATATACCTCAACTGGGGCTGAGAAAAAGAGACCTCAACTGGGGCTGAAAACCTCAACTGGGGCTGAGCGAATTTTTTCTAGAGAAAAATCGACCTCAACTGGGGCTGAGCGAATTTTTTCTATAGAAAAAGACACCTCAGCTGGGGCTGAGCGAATTTTTTTCTATAGAAAAAGACACCTCAGCTGGGGCTGAGCGAATTTTTATCTATAGAAAAAGACGCCTCAGCTGGGGCTGAGCGAATTTTTTCTATAGAAAAATACACCTCAGCTGGGGCTGAGCGAATTTTTTCTATAGAAAAAGACACCTCAGCTGGGGCTGAGCGAATTTTTTCTATAGAAAAAGACACCTCAACTGGGGCTGAGGAATTTTTAGACCACGAAAAAAATACTTCAAAAATCTACGCCTTTGGTAGGACCACGAAAAAATTATTTTTTCTATGGAAAAATATACCTCAACTGGGGCTGGGAAATTTCTTTCTCTAGAAAAATATACCTCAACTGGGGCTGAGGAATTTTTAGACCACGAAAAAAAATATTTCAAAAATCTACGCCTTTGGTAGGACCACGACTTTTTTTGGACCACGGGGGCTGAGCGATTTTTTCTATAGAAAAAATATACCTTAACTGGGACTGAGCGATTTTTTCTATAGAAAAAATATACCTCAACTGGGACTGAGCGATTTTTTCTATAGAAAAATATACCTGAACTGGGGCTGAGCGATTTTTTTCTATAGAAAAATATACCTGAACTGGGACTGAGCGAATTTTTTCTATAGAAAAATATACCTCAACTGGGGCGGAGGAATTTTTAGACCACGAAAAAAAATATCTAAAAAACCTACGCCTTTGGTAGGACCACGAAAAAATTATTTAAAAACTCTACGACTTTTTTTGGACCATGAACAAAATTATTTAAAAAATCTTCCTCTTAAGCTGGAACTGAACGCGAATTTTTTTCTATAGAAGTAGCTTCTTCTTCTATACTCACCATCTGGTTTCAGACCAAATTGAAATAGATTTCCCACAAATGGATAGGGTGTGGGTCCAGGTATCATTTCCATAATCCCAGCAACATGATCCAAATAATTGAATATCTTAATGCCCTTAAAGAACAGCACTGTGAAAATGACAATGGCCAGGGCCAATAAAAACATTTCCATTTTTTATCGAGTAACCAAAATTAAATTTCCGAACGAAGAATTATAGATCCAATTTTTTGTTTATTTAAAATAGTACCGTACACGTAGCGTTTAAAAAACGAACTGACCACTAAAGTACCTGTCACTAGGGTATGTTATAATTAGAGTCGAAAATTATCCCCCCACCTTTGTTGATTGATATGGTCCCAAAAAATATGGGTTCCGATAATAACCTCTAATAAAGCTTATCTCCCTGTTTTTTTTTGCTCCTTCCTTTTTGTTATTCAATTTTTGGTTCTGTTGTTGTCTGAATTTTTCCGATAATATCGCCCAATTATTTGATAATGCTTTAGTAGTTCATGATACTTGAATGGTCATAATTGACTCATTTACGTTGCGGGACCGTTTTGTTGTGTACGGAGTTCGGTTTGTTTTGATAAGCCCACAAATCAATCGAAGAGTCAGCCAACAAGCCGAAGCCATTCATTTCACTAACTTTCAACAACACTCTGAAGTGTCTTGCCTGCCGGTCGTCTAATCATCGCCGAGTTCAAAGTCTTTGCGAACGATTTTCACAGACCCTTATCGATCGGATGTTTCAGATGATAGTTGTTTTGTTGTTTGTTTTTTTATTTCGTTGGGACTTATTGATTACGTGCCGGTTGAAGAACAACGTGTACCTTGTAGGTGGTTCTAGCATATGTCGGAGGAAAGTTTCACTTTCCGAATGTACTTGAGGGCATACATTTATAGGTAGCTATAAATAGAAATTGGTTTGAAGAGATTGTTGAAAACAATAAACAATTAGGGAATTAGTCATAAATATAAAAATGTTAATTGGCCTCTAGAGAATTATTTTGCGTGGTGAACATGACCTAGGGTAAACGCACCTCAACTGAGAATGAGGATTTTCTTAAATAAAAAAATACACCTTAACAGAGGCTGAGGAATTTTTTCTATCAAAAAATACACCTTAAGTTGGGGCTGGGGAATTATTTTTCTGTAGAAAAAGACACCGCAACTGGGGCTGAGGAATTTTTTCTATAGAAAAATATACCTCAACTGGGGCTGAGGAATTTTTTTCTATAGAAAAATATACCTCAACTGGGACTGAGGAATTTTTTCTATAGAAAAATATACCTCAACTGGGACTGAGGAATTTTTTCTATAGAAAAATATACCTCAACTGGGGCTGAGGAATTTTTTCTATAGAAAAATATACCTCAACTGGGACTGAGGATTTTTTTCTATAGAAAAATATACCTCAACTGGGGCTGAGGATTTTTGTCTATAGAAAAATATACCTCAACTGGGGCTGAGGATTTTTGTCTATAGAAAAATATACCTCAACTGGGGCTGAGGATTTTTTTCTATAGAAAAATATACCTCAACTGGGGCTGAGCGAATTTTTTCTACAGAAAAATATACCTCAACTGGTGCTGAGGAATTTTTTCTACAGAAAAATATGCCTCAACTGGGGCTGAGGAATTTTTTCTATAGAAAAATCCACCTCAACTGGGGCTGAGGAATTTTTTCTATAGAAAAATCCACCTCAACTGGGGCTGAGGAATTTTTTCTATAGAAAAATCCACCTCAACTGGGGCTGAGGAATTTTTTCTATAGAAAAAGACACCTCAGCTGGGGCTGACGAATTTTTTCTATAGAAAAAGACACCTCAGCTGGGGCTGACGAATTTTTTCTATAGAAAAAGACACCTCAGCTGGGGCTGAGGAATTTTTTCTATAGAAAAAGACACCTCAGCTGGGGCTGAGGAATTTTTTCTATAGAAAAAGACACCTCAGCTGGGGCTGAGGAATTTTTTCTATAGAAAAAGACACCTCAGCTGGGGCTGAGGAATTTTTTCTATAGAAAAAGACACCTCAGCTGGGGCTGAGGAATTTTTTCTATAGAAAAAGACACCTCAGCTGGGGCTGAGGAATTTTTTCTATAGAAAAAGACACCTCAGCTGGGGCTGAGGAATTTTTTCTATAGAAAAAGACACCTCAGCTGGGGCTGAGGAATTTTTTCTATAGAAAAAGACACCTCAGCTGGGGCTGAGGAATTTTTTCTATAGAAAAAGACACCTCAGCTGGGGCTGAGGAATTTTTTCTATAGAAAAAGACACCTCAGCTGGGGCTGAGGAATTTTTTCTATAGAAAAAGACACCTCAGCTGGGGCTGAGGAATTTTTTCTATAGAAAAAGACACCTCAGCTGGGGCTGAGGAATTTTTTCTATAGAAAAAGACACCTCAGCTGGGGCTGAGGAATTTTTTCTATAGAAAAAGACACCTCAGCTGGGGCTGAGGAATTTTTTCTATAGAAAAAGACACCTCAGCTGGGGCTGAGGAATTTTTTCTATAGAAAAAGACACCTCAGCTGGGGCTGAGGAATTTTTTCTATAGAAAAAGACACCTCAGCTGGGGCTGAGGAATTTTTTCTATAGAAAAAGACACCTCAGCTGGGGCTGAGGAATTTTTTCTATAGAAAAAGACACCTCAGCTGGGGCTGAGGAATTTTTTCTATAGAAAAAGACACCTCAGCTGGGGCTGAGGAATTTTTTCTATAGAAAAAGACACCTCAGCTGGGGCTGAGGAATTTTTTCTATAGAAAAAGACACCTCAGCTGGGGCTGAGGAATTTTTTCTATAGAAAAAGACACCTCAGCTGGGGCTGAGGAATTTTTTCTATAGAAAAAGACACCTCAGCTGGGGCTGAGGAATTTTTTCTATAGAAAAAGACACCTCAGCTGGGGCTGAGGAATTTTTTCTATAGAAAAAGACACCTCAGCTGGGGCTGAGGAATTTTTTCTATAGAAAAAGACACCTCAGCTGGGGCTGAGGAATTTTTTCTATAGAAAAAGACACCTCAGCTGGGGCTGAGGAATTTTTTCTATAGAAAAAGACACCTCAGCTGGGGCTGAGGAATTTTTTCTATAGAAAAAGACACCTCAGCTGGGGCTGAGGAATTTTTTCTATAGAAAAAGACACCTCAGCTGGGGCTGAGGAATTTTTTCTATAGAAAAAGACACCTCAGCTGGGGCTGAGGAATTTTTTCTATAGAAAAAGACACCTCAGCTGGGGCTGAGGAATTTTTTCTATAGAAAAAGACACCTCAGCTGGGGCTGAGGAATTTTTTCTATAGAAAAAGACACCTCAGCTGGGGCTGAGGAATTTTTTCTATAGAAAAAGACACCTCAGCTGGGGCTGAGGAATTTTTTCTATAGAAAAAGACACCTCAGCTGGGGCTGAGGAATTTTTTCTATAGAAAAAGACACCTCAGCTGGGGCTGAGGAATTTTTTCTATAGAAAAAGACACCTCAGCTGGGGCTGAGGAATTTTTTCTATAGAAAAAGACACCTCAGCTGGGGCTGAGGAATTTTTTCTATAGAAAAAGACACCTCAGCTGGGGCTGAGGAATTTTTTCTATAGAAAAAGACACCTCAGCTGGGGCTGAGGAATTTTTTCTATAGAAAAAGACACCTCAGCTGGGGCTGAGGAATTTTTTCTATGGGGCTGGGAATTTTTTCTATAAAAAAGACACCTCAGCTGGGGCTGAGGAATTTTTTCTATAGAAAAAGACACCTCAGCTGGGGCTGAGGAATTTTTTCTATAGAAAAAGACACCTCAGCTGGGGCTGACGAATTTTTTCTATAGAAAAAGACACCTCAGCTGGGGCTGAGGAATTTTTTCTATAGAAAAAGACACCTCAGCTGGGGCTGAGGAATTTTTTCTATAGAAAAAGACACCTCAGCTGGGGCTGAGGAATTTTTTCTATAGAAAAAGACACCTCAGCTGGGGCTGAGGAATTTTTTCTATAGAAAAAGACACCTCAGCTGGGGCTGAGGAATTTTTTCTATAGAAAAAGACACCTCAGCTGGGGCTGAGGAATTTTTTCTATAGAAAAAGACACCTCAGCTGGGGCTGAGGAATTTTTTCTATAGAAAAAGACACCTCAGCTGGGGCTGAGGAATTTTTTCTATAGAAAAAGACACCTCAGCTGGGGCTGAGGAATTTTTTCTATAGAAAAAGACACCTCAGCTGGGGCTGAGGAATTTTTTCTATAGAAAAAGACACCTCAGCTGGGGCTGAGGAATTTTTTCTATAGAAAAAGACACCTCAGCTGGGGCTGAGGAATTTTTTCTATAGAAAAAGACACCTCAGCTGGGGCTGAGGAATTTTTTCTATAGAAAAAGACACCTCAGCTGGGGCTGAGGAATTTTTTCTATAGAAAAAGACACCTCAGCTGGGGCTGAGGAATTTTTTCTATAGAAAAAGACACCTCAGCTGGGGCTGAGGAATTTTTTCTATAGAAAAAGACACCTCAGCTGGGGCTGAGGAATTTTTTCTATAGAAAAAGACACCTCAGCTGGGGCTGAGGAATTTTTTCTATAGAAAAAGACACCTCAGCTGGGGCTGAGGAATTTTTTCTATAGAAAAAGACACCTCAGCTGGGGCTGAGGAATTTTTTCTATAGAAAAAGACACCTCAGCTGGGGCTGAGGAATTTTTTCTATAGAAAAAGACACCTCAGCTGGGGCTGAGGAATTTTTTCTAGAGAAAGAAAAAGACACCTCAGCTGGGGCTGAGGAATTTTTTCTATAGAAAAAGACACCTCAGCTGGGGCTGAGGAATTTTTTCTATAGAAAAAGACACCTCAGCTGGGGCTGAGGAATTTTTTTTATATAAAAAGACACCTCAGCTGGGGCTGAGGAATTTTTTCTATATAAAAAGACACCTCAATTGGGGCTGAGGAATTTTTTCTATAGAAAAAGACACGTCAATTGGGGCTGAGGAATTTTTTCTATAGAAAAATTTACCTCAACTGGGGCTTAGGAATTTTTTCTATAGAAAAATACACCTCAGCTGGGGCTGAGGAATTTTTTCTATAGAAAAATACACCTCAGCTGGGGCCGAGGAATTTTTTCTATAGAAAAATACACCTCAGCTGGGGCTGAGGAATTTTTTCTATAGAAAAATACACCTCAGCTGGGGCTGAGGAATTTTTTCTGAGGAATTTTCCTCAGC